AAACAAGCTGTTTGGCGACATAATCCGTTACTTGGTGATATTTAGTTGGTACTTAATCTATTTTGACCTTATTTGGCAAGCGTACATCAGTTAAAACATTATTCGATAATTCTTAATAATAATAATATTAACCGAATTGTTGAAGACAGTAAGTGAAGTGAAGCGAAGCGTTTTCGTACAAACGAGCGGGACTTCGGCAATTCGTATTCAAGAAAGTAATATTATTTCGGAATTAAACTTTTTTTTTTTTTTTTTGTGTGTGTGTGTGTGTGTGGTGTGCGTGTGTGTGTGTGTGGTGTGTGTGTGTGTGTGTGTGTGTGTGTGTGTGTGTGAAATAGTTTTTGGGAATGTGACGAGATACATTAGAAAGCATCAATATAATTATCGATCATATGTTTGATTGATGCACTTGTAGTTATTTGATTTAGATACATTTTCTCAGTGATTGTATTGTATTTTTGAATCAAATACTTAAAATTATACGCATTGAATTCCAGCTGGGTTCATTTTTGTATGATAGCATAGGTTATTTTTTTATTTAGTGGCATTTAAATGCAAACATATTAACCTAGTTTAAACCATGTTAATCATATTGTTGCGTGCATATGGGTTCATAGTCGATTGAATGCACACAGCTCCTCCGATGATAGGTGGAATAAATTTACTTTTTATCAAAGGAAACACTTCCGAGTTCTGGAACTTTCCACAGAAATAGTCGTACAGCTCTTCACAATATCACAAAATACAATCAGTAGTTACACTTCAAACTACTATGAACGTTGAACACAATGCAATGCAAAGCGCAGCTAAAGAGCGAAGCTAAACCGGATATAGTACTCAGAACTCAAACTGAGCTAAAGACTAACAACAAATGAGAGCAAATACTCTCTCCGGTCTTATATAGTTTTCACCTGCTGTCGAGATATTTCTACTACTTTCTCCTCCTCGAAATTAGGGAAGGCAATATAAGAGTCGAATTACGGTTACAACTAATATAGTGATCAATTACTTTTATTCAGTTACAATACTTACTACGGTGATATAGGGATAACATAGGGGTCAAATGAACGCTAGTTGGCGACTTTTGCCGATTTCTAGCCGAATTTGGCCTCAAAATCAGTTTCCAAAACCGTTGCCAGCTTGGCGATATCTCGCCAAATTACCGAGATACTCATTTACTCAATGTTAAATAGACTTGTTATGGCTTATGCAGAAACTATAAATACTGATTAATGTCGTTTTATTTGTTTTTTGTTGTTTTGAGAATGGCAACAAAAAACAAATAAAACGATATTAATCAGTTTTTAAAGTTTCTATGTAAGTTCAAGCCACAACAGACTTATCCCTGCATTCTTAATTTTCCGGCATAGATCTTCTCTCTAGATTTTCGTGTTACTTTACACAAAAAATACAACTCTAAAATCATCTATCTCTGTACAAAATTCATAACAGTATTAAAATTTGGAAATTTCGTTTTCTAATAAGTTAATAGCAAATGTTTATTGCTCATTAATTACACACACATTAAATTAATTAATTCAAAGTTTTTTTTTTTTTTTTTTTTTTCATCGCATTGAAAGATAAAAATTCGTTTATTGTTTGAATTAAGATTTCAAGCATTCGATCGCAATCGTAATAGAATAAATCATACGGAAGGTAATCTCATTACCAGGATTATCGGTTTATTTATATGCATGCGTTACCCCCCCCCCCCGATGCATATTTTATTTGCTTTAGTGACTGATTCTTACTTTACGTGTTCTGTCAATTTTGTCAATTCTGTTATTTTTATTGTACGTGTTAATTCTTCTTACGTATTCTGCTAATTTCTGTGTATTTTATTAATTCATTTTCCACGCATTCTGGCAGCCCTGTTAATTCTTACTGCATATAATTTTATGTATTCTTTCCATGTATCTTTTCATTCTATTTATCTGTTAATTCTGTTTTATGTATTATTTCTGCGTATTTTCTTTTCGTAATTCTATCAATCCTATTCTGTTAATTTTGTTATTCTTATTGTGTTAATCTTGTTTGTTCGTATTTCTTGAATTCTATTAATTCATTTTAGTGTATTGTGTTCATTTGCATTCTACGTATTCTGTTACTCCTGTTGAATGATCCTTTTCTCTAGAACCAGTTGTCCGTTTTTCTGCAACGTATTATGTGCTACGTATTCTGTTTGCTTCTGTTTTACGTATTCTGTTAATTCTTTTCATTTCCCCCTTCCATTTTCTCTGTCAATTTTATTATGTTAATCCTGTATTTGTATTAATTCTGTCAACTCATTCTATTCTTTCTACGTATTTTGTTTACTTCTGTTGTGCGTTCTTTCTATACCTGTTGTTTATTAATTCTGTTATTTTTATTTTGTTAATCTTTTTAATCCGTATTCTCTGTACTCTGTTAATTCGTTTGTATGTATTCTGTTAACCTTTTCTGCATATTCTTGCTTGTACGTGTTCTATTTGTTTGCTTTCTTTATTGATTGATTCCTTATTACAAGCACTGAGTCGTTTTCTTAAGCGTCGTTCCAGTGACTCGTTATTTTTGTAATGAATGAAATAGATCCTAAATCCGTTTCGGATCCGATTGAAAACGATTTTTATTCTTCGGATACCAGCTCTCTTTCTCCCGCATCCTTGCTCAGCGATGCCTTTGGGGCTCTTGCTCGGCTATTGTACATCGGTCTTAAGCTGAGAGAAAATGGCATTCGAGCTGCTTTGCTGTATATAAGAAAGGAATGATGACGAAGAGGAGGAAGAGGGGGTTGGGGAAATGATGGAGAACGAAAGAACCTCCACAAACGAGTAGATGTCTGAAGTTATTGATTTTTGTTAAAGCGCCCTTTTCTGCTTTTGGGAGAGTTAGTCGTTGAAAAGCAGGAAGATTCCACCTTCTCACATATATATCCATCGGTCTCATTATTTCTCTAACATGGATGCTTCCAAAAAAAGGTGTGTCCGTTCGTTTTAATTGCGTGTCTCTTGATGGCCGACAGGACATTTGGAGCGATATATTCCACGGCTGGACCCCGCAAGGCTGGGATTTGTTGATGAGTATTTGCATGTTATTGATCGTGTAAATCTACTTCCTCCCTCTTTCCCCCACTATTTTTTTTTTTTTTTTTTTTAATCAGCGACCGCCAGTTTGCGAAATTTTGATTTCTTTTTGATCCGTCGCCATCTGTTAACCCTAGATAAAGAAATTCACTTGCGCGATTGCTAATCCGTTAATGACTTAAGGTTTGTCTGACGTACATTAACCTTTTCATGAAGAAGTACACAGAATTTTATAATTAGGGTGTTCTTTGAACCTTTTCCCGGGGGGGGGCGTAGTTTCGTTTTCCGGTATTTTTTAAAACCTTTTTTAATGTTATTAACTCGTAATGAGCGAAATTTATTTTAATGATTAATTAAAAGGTAAAAATGTACACATGTATCGGCGGAGTTACATAATTATTCTAAAATGTACATTTTTATAATTTTTGCTATCAAATTATTTTAATTATTAATTTATTTATATTTAATTTTAGTATTATTTTTAATTGAAAGACATTTATACTTATGAGACCAATGCGAATTATCTATCAGTTTAATATTTCTAAAGAGAGAAACTGGAGTGGCAACAGTAAAAATTTGGGTGTTTACAATTGTATTGATGACGATGTGGGTTTAATCGCTCCAAAACGAAACTTTTAAGAATATTTTGTAATTACGAGAGAAATGTGATAAATAATAAATTATTGAATCCCAAACAGTGTCTTTTTTATTATGAAGCTTGTAAAATGTGTGCAACGCATATTATAATGATTTCAATTGTTCTAAAAGTGTAAATTATTCATTTTTTCCAAGTTCCTCAGTAATAAATGTAATTAAGAAATAAATACTAGATAATTTGACTTGCAAGCTAGCAGGGAGGAGGCATATATCTTGCTTTGAGGTTTAAATTATTAAAATGATTTTTTAAAATCCATAACTGCTTTTCTTTTTTCTAAAAATTTTAAATATTTATATCGTAAAATCATTACATTTTATAGTTTGAAATATTGACATTAGTACTCTATTAAGTAGCTTTTTTGAAGTACCTTATTAAAAGTTAACATTTCTTTCAAAATCGTTTTCTTGATAAATTTTAAAATGCATGTCTGTTGTTACTTTCTAATTAATTTTTATGACCATTTCAGAAGTTAATTATTTACTGTATTTGATATAAAAGTAATACTGACATTTTATTTTTCCGGTATTTCTTTGAAAAATCTGTCAGGGATTATGAATATATGTTTCATTTTAACTTTTTAAATTCTGATAAATAATGCTGTTAGATAAATTTAATTTCACAGAACAATTTAGATATTTTAAAGTATAGTGTTATTACTGTTTGAGATTGTTTTATGGTAACACACTTGTTATTATACTTTTCCAGAAACATGTACTTTTAGTATATCTTTCATTCTGTAGAATGTACGCTTTGTATTGCGTGAGAACTTAGTTTTAGGACACGCATAGAATCTTGTTTCGATTTATGCTAACGACCGTGCTACAAATGTAGTGCTACGAACCCGAACTCGTGTGTGTTCAGTATTTGGTAACTTAAAATGCCGCCGTTTTTCCATAGTTCGAGGAACATAATGCATACAATATTTAATATTTGAGACTGTAGATTATATCTGCCTGTTTATGTACTGTGCAAAATATTCATATTTTTGCAGTGTTTTATCTTTTACGATTCAAGCGTGAGAAAGAGATTACAGTGTGCTTTGTTAATCGTGCTGTTTTATATAACCAACAGGTATAAAATCTTGTCGCTCTTAGTTATACGATCATTGAAATGCAATGGAAAGTGTAGATATTGGTGAAACTATGACCTGTTTGGGTTCCTTCCACTCTTTCCACCATTTTAGCCGGTGAGACAAGTCTATAACGAAATCTTTATCCCTATGTAATGAAAGAGACAGCAGTGCATACCCAAGCGCCTCTCACTTGGGCGCTCGCTTCGACTAGCGTAATACATACAGGAATCCATCCATTTATACATAACGACCTCGACGGCTCTTTGAATATCAGCTGTAATTCTGGAGTATTTTCCTGCAGATCGATTGCTTAGCTTTACCAGCCCCGCTGCTTCCTTGCTAGACTCCTTTTCCTTCATATTTCGGTTCTGATATTATTTGGGCGAGATGGCGATTGGAGATTTGTGGTTTGAACTTCACCGTCGCCTCGGTAAGCTAATTTTTTGAACCGATGTAATAATAATTGAAAAGCGTATGGAAGAATAACACTTATTCTGAAGAAAATGTGTCTCCGGAAGTGTATTTATTATGTGTGGATTTTTGAGTCTAAAACTTCTCCATTTTGCCAAGGTGTTAATTAAAATAATAATAATTAAAAATTCGTGGTAGTTTATCTTTATATTTGAATTACGAATACAGTATTATTATAGCTTTCATTTAAATATATTTGCATGGAATTCATCCAGAATGAACTTATTTAGCCTTTTATTAACGCTGATTCCTGCTAATTCTTAGGTATGTACTTCGAGATTAACTTAATATCGAATATCGCAATTAAAGACGAAATTGTAATTAAACAGAAATTCCTTCGGAATCAACATAAATTAAGAAAGCATGATTTGAAATATTAACGTTGGAGCAATGGAATTGCACAATTATTCTAAAATGTATTTTAGATTTGTTTTTGGCAACAGTAAAAATGTTATTTGAATTGTTTTAAATCATTTTAAAACTTTTGTTTTTTGAGAATTGCGTACATTAACATTAAAACAATTCCAAACAACTGATATTTTGCTGTTGCCACTGTTAAATATAAATTCCATGTTGGAATAATGCGTAAATTTAACTCCAACTCGATATATTGTTTTATTTAAAAAAAAAAAAAAAAAAAAAGACTGCGGTATATCTGCGAAATAATCCGCTTATTCGAGTTTTCGAATGTGGTCAGGAAGAAGTTTCTCCGAATATTTTATTTAAAGATCTGAAAAATATCCGAAAATTTTTGTTTTCGAAATTCGCTAGATGTGTTTTATGTTTCAGGTTTAAATTTCCACAGAGTGTTCTGAGTTCTTTCTGATGTGATGTATTAAAAATAAAGCACTGATAAATATGAATATCCTAAATGAATATTTGGTCTTCGAATATCATGGTTCGGATTGCCAGCGGGGCATCCAGCGGCTAGCCTACGGTGTTTTTGTAGTGCCCTTGCATCACCTAACGAGGAAAAAGTTTAAAATAAACATAGAGCATCGCTATTTGGTGAAATTTTGATATTTATCGGCCTTTCTTCGGCTTTCAATTTTTTTATTTGGTGTGTGTGTTTATTAAGTAGTTATTACCTAATTTGCTTATTTAAGCAGGTGTTCAATGACTTGAAATGAAAGCCTTTATCAATTTAAAAAATCAATTCTGCATTCATAGCAGAATTGACTAAAATGATAAATCTAGCGATTTAATTTTGTAAGTGTAACTTGTGAGACAAGCGTAATTAAAAAATGAATTCGATTTCGAGACATCCGCATTTTTATGCAGTTTTACGATCTCAGAATGGCAATGAGGAGAAAGAAAAACAAAATTTGTAATTTTTTTAATCGTCATATTCTAATGTTATTAAAATGTAGTTAGAAGTTAAAAGGATTAAATAAAAATTCCTCTTTATTGGCAACAGAACTTAAAATAAATAAATAAATAAATCTAAACGAAATGTACTCATTCCACTGCAACATTTATTTTGAAGTAAAATGTGTATGTTCATTGTGGCTGTTTTTTAACCATTGAAATATATTTCCAAAGGACTTTTAAATTGCTTATTCTGATTTCTGTTTTGTTAGTGATCACTTTTAAACGGCTCTGATGTGTCAAGGAATCTGGTAGTTCTAAATTTTCCGATTTGTAAATAAGTACCCAAATTTATGTCTATATATGGCCTTAAATTCTTATGAGAATTAAATTTATCTATATTTTCAATTGAAGTATTTATTGCCCTTTAAATGAATTTGAAATTGCTTTTAGAGTAATATTTTGAGGGGTTAATGTATTTTAACAACATCGAGCATAATTTTAAGAATTATATTCGATTTTATCATTTTTCAGATTTTGTTAACATACTTAGTAGCTCATAACTCTTGGAAAAAAATATGAATTTTTAAATTGTCTTACTTGCATTAAGTTAGATTCATAGCAGTTTTTTTTTTTTTTTTTTTCCCCTTCCCAGTTTGTGAATGACTTTTTGCTAATTATTGCAGCAATACACAAGTTAGTTGAACCAGCTGAATATTTATTTATACATATAAATTTCTTTTCTCAATTTACAATTCCCCCCCCCTTTTTTTTAAAGTTCTATTATTTTAATTTATTAGTGTTAAAATAGATTTTTTTAAATTCATTTTTAGGCTCCATGGCTGCATTTTACTATTACAGAAATACATCAGGAAGGTATGTTTATGCTTTTATAGCTTTTTATAATTGAAAAATTCAACAGTAGATTTTCTTTGTTAGCTTTGGTAAATTAAATCTAACTTAACTAATTATGTATTTCAAGGGTTCTCAACTGGGGAGGATTTCCTAATTTCAGGGGTAGGGAATGTAGTCAGCCTTTTATTTATTTATTGTATTTAGTTTTATTTTATGAATATAAAAAATCTGATGTGTACACCACATGACTTCCTTTTACGGAATATTAAATTATACACATTTTTTCTTGCATTTCATTTAAAGTTATTGGATTGAATTAAATCTACTTTGCCGACAGCGCATAAAAACCACAATAGAATAAATGCATTCTTTAAAAATTCACTTTAGTATTTGTTTACCATAGTGACACTCTGGCGCTAGATTCACTTAACAGTATTAATAATTATATAACAGTTAACTTATATAATAATTATATAACAGAAACTAAGTTAACTGTTATATAATCCAATAATTATATAACAGTTAACTTATGTATTTCGTTCATATTATAACTCGTAATGCACAAAATTTATATCATTTAAGGAATAGAATTATCTAATCGTTGCCACATGTTCTATTGAAATACTATAATAAAGCTAGAATGATGTATAAAAGAAATTAAGCAAACAAAACAAAAAAGAAGCAGTTTTTCACAGACTGAATATTTCTCATTTAATTAATTCAGTTCTCACTTCGCAAGAAGGCAAAAATACATAAAAATTCAAAATATCTATATTAAAAATTACGAAGTAAATCTTAAACACTTATTTCCTCAAAAACATTCCAGAAAGAATTAAGCATGTTTTAATTGGCAATAATAAATGAATGCATTATCTTTGTTGTTGCGAAACTAAGTTTCTTTAGATTGGCAACAAATCCACTGGTCTCCTGTTTCAAATGTTAATATCAATGGCCGCCATAAAAAAAAAGGCTTAGCGGCACTTAGACAACTTTAAAACTGTTGATAATTCTAAAAATATTGCATACAGATTTACTAAAGCCATAAAAACCTTAACCGGAAGATAAAAACAACATAATACAATCATTTTTAAAGCAAAAAATGTACAATTTACAAACATATAAGAGTAAAGAAACTGAGATCACTAAGCTGGGTAACAGAGTGGATATATATATAAATATATTTTTATACGTTTGGTGCGGCCAATTGCAACCAAAATACGAGGTGAACATCTACATGTTATAGGAGTTCTATATACAAAATTTCAACGTTCGAAGGCTGCTCATTTTTGAGTTGTGCGAGATACGTACCTACGTATGTACATACGTTCGTACAGACGCCACGAAAAATTCTCTTCAGAATTAATTTTAAAGCAGTTTTATAATTTTTTAAGGAAAAGAGTATTTTATTCTGTCCTTACATACAGATATCACACAAAAACATCGTTAAATTGCATTCGATAGTGGTCAAAATAGATATTTTCGTTGAAATATGCTGCATGAAACTTTTCACGATTACAATACTTCCTTTTTACTTTGTACAAGGAAGTAAAAATTAGTTTGATTTAACTTGTGGTATTTATCAATATTTTCTGTATTTTTTCTTGTTTCAGTTATAAAAATTAAGTTTAAAAGTCATATTATCAAAATATTAGAAAATAATCGAAATTTAAAGAAATGTATGTGTATTTTCTAAGTTTGGAAAGGAGGAGGGGTGGATGATCTGCTAGCAAGTGTTAAAGTGCTGCTTGGGGGGGGGGAGTTGAGAACCACTGATCTATTTTAATAGAATTAAATTGATTGATTTAAGGAAAATCAAGTTTTAAAAAAAAAAATTAAAAAATTCTTTTCAAATTATAAAAATAAGGGAGTAGTTATTTATGTAATCACAAATTACGATGCCTTTTATGAATTAACATTTATTACTTTATTTTGTATAATTTTTTCGTGTTCAAGTTTAATAATCTGAATAGTGAAAGAATAACTTTTAATATCTCTGTAACCCCTTGACTGTCATGGCCACCTTTATCCCAGCATGAGATTTTATGTTATTTCATGTGTTATACTGTGTTAACAAAAATGATTTGTTTTCTTTAATGTTCTTAACATTAATGAATAACATAATTAAGGACTAACATAATTAATTGTGCAAATTTAACCAAAAAATTGCTGTTTAAGTAGTTCTTCATAAGCAGATCCATAAAGCTATGTCACTCAGATTGTTAAAGAAATACAAGTGTAAATTATTACACAAGATAAGGTAATAAGGTAAAGAAGTAGTTCTATAAATACTGTAAAAGAGGATTACACTATCCATGATTAACTCTAGAATAATTTTTTTTAAATTTATGTTGACCTTTTTATTATATTATAGGTAAAATTGTATCTGTGTTATGGATAATGCTGAACAAAGTCCTCGGCCCCCATCAAAGGGTATATTTGACACAGCTAGTTTGTTAGGTAAGCTCATTTATTTATAGTGAGTTTTTGTTTTTAATCGATTTTTCTTTATCTTTCATTAAAAAAAATGTGTTATTAAAAAATCCAGTGTTAAACTTCTTTAACTCCTGCCAAATTACGTTCTAGTTTTCTATAAACTTACTAAGAGGCCTTTTATAGCATTCTGTAAAATTTTAGATGCAGTTTCTGGAGCAATTTTCATAGATATGTGTAGGTATTCTGTAGAGATATGTGCACAGGTTCTATAAAAAAATTGTAGTTTTTGAAGATCCCACGTATAAAATACTAGAAAGCCCAGCAGTCATATGAAATGACTGCTGTTCTAGATATTATAAATTGTAATTAAAAGGATTTGTGCAAAGGTGTCTGCTAATTCAACTGAATTACCCAGGGTAGGCAGCGAGGATGCCCCTTTGCTTACTGCCCCACGGGGTTTCCCCCTTGTTTAATTGCTTAGTAGGATAAAATGCAAAGTAGAGTGCAATGAAGAAAACCACTGGCATTACATTTCTTAAGAGCCACCGCTAGCTCAATAAATAAAAGTGACTTAAATAATAAAATGTTAATTCACATGTCAAATATCTCTTTGTACGCAACATTTCTTGTGTAGATCTTTCCATCATTTTTAAGCTCGCCTTGCAGAGGACCATCAATTATTTTTAATTTTACGTCCGTTCTTTCACAAACTCTTGAACAGGCAACATAAAGTTGATTGTGTCCAAATGTAGGCTCAGGTAAAGAAATGCCAACACGCTTAAGCATTTGGCCCTGAGACTTATTGATGGTCATAGCGAAGGCAAGTTTTACAGTAAATTGTCTACGTCTCAATTAAAAACAGTAACCCTGTTTGTGATGGAGCCAAATCAATTCTTGGAATGACATGTATTTCACTTTAGGGGAGCCAGTCAAAGATGGCATTATTTTTCAATTGGAGAACCTTTTGTCTTGTACCATTGCAAAGACCCCTTCTGGTGTTAAGATTTCTTAACAGCATAATAATTGCTCCAGTCTTTAACCTCAATTTGTGAGAGGGCGTGCCAGGAAGGCGACAAAATATTTAAAAATTCTATCGGAAAGTTGTTGGCACTCGCTTTATTATCAGCTATAACAGAATCAACACTTAAATATGTCGTGTCGTTCCCTTTTATGATATTTAAGACATCATCATTTAGTTTGTCTACATCAAAATCTTTAGGACACAATATTGCCCTTTCACTAATTTCACTGATGTTTCCAGGCTGGATTTTATTACAAAACCCAATCCACTAAACTATTTTTGCATATCATTGACAAAGGAATCTCGACAACATCTTCATTCAATCCATTATCATCAGAAAGAGTTCCATTTCCAAATTTCCAAAGCCACTCATTATGTTTGGGGTCATTTGACCTCATGTTCATTGTCAGTGGAAGTTTCTTAAATTTTGATTTTGAAAATTAAATCCATGATTTTGCAAATTTTATGCTATTTTGTATTATTGTGGCGTGTGGAGCATGAGGCAATACTGATAGACATTGTCTAAAGTCACCTCCAAGAAGTAAAACTTTTCCTCCAAATGGATAATAATTTTTCATGATTTCTTTTAACAACCTGTTAATTGTATCCAAAACATGGTTTGAAGCCATGGTACATTTGTCAATTATTATGAGCTTTGCTTCTCTTAAAAGCTTTGCTTTGTCAGTATTTAATTTAATATTAGATACTGAGGTTTCATTTAATGGAATTGGCAATCCAAAAAGACTGTGTATTGTCTTTTCATCAAGTAATAAATTTGCAGCTACGCCTGTTGTAGCAGCAGAGAGGACAGAAATTTGTTTTCATCTGCAGTACCTCAACAGAGTTGTATAAAGATATGTTTTTCCAGATCCTCCAAGGGACTGTCAAGAAAAAACAGTTTGCCACTATTGATTGGTGCATCTAAAGCTGTTAAAATAAAATCATACGCTGACCTCTTTTGAGCATTAAGAGTCTCTTTATCTTTTTCTGCAAGTGCTATCTCTTCCTCCAGATCATATTGATTTTCTGGCATAGCAAGATCAGCAGGAGGATGTTTTAAACCCCAACTGCCGCAGAAAACGTACAAGATTCATTTCCCAGTGCCACAGTTTTTCACACAGGGGCGCGTAGTTATGCGATGTATTAGGGGGAAAATAAATGAAGGGGGAAAGTATTAGGGGGAAAATAAAGAAAATAAAGCACAAATTGCTATGTTTATATGGCAATTGTATTTTAAAAGTAAATAAGGATTGTGTGGCACAATCCACGAATTATCCATACTTTATTGCCAATTATTGTAGACTCTGTCCTTCTATGTCTGTATTTTGGATATCCATTCACATCTTTATTTGTGAAGATAGCAAATGCTTTCGGAAACTCCTTTTTACATTTGTCAATTTCGATACAAATGCAGTTTGGGTTTATTAATCCTTACGGACTGTGAATCATGTGCTTTGTTACAATTTCAAAAAGGCTTGGCGAATTGACTTTGTCTGGAATTTCTGCACAGACAATTTTGTCAATGTCAGTCTCATTTTTTAGCTTTGATTCACTGTCTAAAATTATTAAAATGGGACAGTGGGACAATCCCCTTTTTTGAAACTCGGTGGCCATATACCATTGCTTGGACTTTGCCAAAGAGTCCATCTTTTAAATCTTTTAATAGGGATTTTAACTTAATTTTAAAAACCCTTGCTACAATATCAGGTCTATTAGTAGCTGTTTGGCCATCCTTCAAATTATTCTGGATGTCATCCCAATTTGGATTACATGTCATTGTTACAAAAAGGTCTGGCTTATCAAAGTTTGTAATAATAGACATTGCATCTTGAAATCTTTGTTGAATGTTCCTGGAACTGCCTTCAAAGGAAGATGGTGAAACTATCTTTTTCCCAGGAATTTCAGTGTCTTCTTTAATTAAGTAGTCAGAGAGACCATTGTATTTTTCAGTTCTAAGATCTTTTTGGTGAGGGCTAATGTAATAAAGCTGCCCAGATCCCATTCGGCAATACCAATCACAAAAGAGTTGCTAAATTAATTTTCCTGCCATTATAAGCAGATTAAAGTTGTCTCAAACTGACAACATATAGCTATAAAATTCCATTTCTGAAATTTGCGATCTATTTTTTCCCAGGATTATGTAAGCCAAGTTTATACTTCCAGCCTTGCTCTCTTCGTGGAAAAAGGAAAGGATACATCATGGGGTCAAGATTTGGATCCCACGTGCTGATTCGCTTTAATTCAGTTTGCCCAGGTTGAGTCTTTGGGTAAATTATTAAATCTCACTCATGTGGTGGTTCTCCATCAGTGTTTTCAAATATGACAGCCACTTCGTTGGCTTGCTGGACATTATAATGCCTTTTATCTAAGTTACGATCACAGACAATGGCCATGGCAATGCTGATTGCTGCCTCATTGCTATAGCATTAGAAGCCAACTTTTTTTCAACTTCGTGCATCATTTTATATGCAGAACCAATTGGGTTAATGTCTTGAAATAATTCCCCCATTTCATTAAGTAAGGTCTCAGGAACTCTTTTATTCCATTACTAACGTGCCAAACTGGCTTCTGAGAGATCAGGTATATATAATTGAGCAAACTTTCTTTTCCCATCAGAAGGATGCAAAGTTTCAGATTGATGGCAAACTTGACCATGAAATCGAAAGCAATAAATTCCTGGTTCGGGCAAGTCAATTGGTTTGTTTCCCATAGATGCAAAAGCAAACGAACTATTAATGGATCGAATGCTATCCATGTACTGTTTGCTATTGGATGCTGATTAGTCAATAATTTATTTAATAGTGGTGGATAATTTCCAATTAGTGGAACTACAATGTTTCCATACCTGGAACATTGAGAAAATCCCTCCTTGCCACTGTCAAATCGATTAGTTTCTAACTTGAAGTTTGATTGCTAAAAATTGCTAAATTGGGATTGCTAAAAAATAAAATTTCTCTGTTTGAAACTGTTTTAATTCTTTTTGCGTTTTGGTCAGCATTACTCTGTCATTTTTTTTGCATTTCTCTCCTGCCTTTATTCAAGGGACTCATTTTGTCGAGACAGGCTTTCTTGTCTTGCATCTGAGGCAAGCCTTGTTTCTCTATGCTCATCAGTCTCATTTTGCCGAGAAAGACACGTTTGTTCTGCGACTGAAGCAAGCCTTGTCTTTCTCTGCTCAGTGGTTTCTTTTTGTTGAGAAAGCTGTTTTTGTGCAGCTTTAGCTCCTTTTCTCTTCTCTCCAGTTCTGTATTTTCTAGGAAGTATTCTTAAAAGAAATTATGTTAAGACTTAGTTTTTATGTAAAACAGATGATTGCCAATGCAAACAAATGTTCACCTTCTCCCTGACACGCTCAATTTGCATTCAGCCTTAAATTGTTTCAAAACAGATGATTGCTAATGCAAGCAGATGTTCACCTTCCTCCTGACACGCTCAGCTTGTGTTGAGTTATAAACCATTTCAAAAATAGATGATTGCTAATGCAAACAAATGTTCACGTTCCCCCTGATACGCTCAATTTGCGTTCAGCTGAAAATTCAATTTAAAATACAATGTCAGAATAAAATCGGGCAAAATTTAAAACTCTTTATGCTAAAGGATATTTAACATAGGAGTTTGGGTAAACCTACCTGATGAGATGTACTATGCACAACTCGTTAGATGGTTTTGTCTCCTTTAATTTCTCAGTGTTTGCAAGTTTCTAGGTAATTCATATGCAAATATAGTTTAATGGATAATAAGCAACAATTGTATGAATTAAAAATACTTAAATGTTCTTAAATACCATGATAATTTAAAATTAAAACAATGATAACTGCATGTATGGTATCAGTGTATATGGACTATTTGAATGCCATGGCAACTTCACCTCATTGGCTAGTACAGTTAAGCAAGAAACCAATAAACTATCGGCGACAAACAGACATTTAAGCCGCATATAATAAAGATTTAAGTTCTCATTTTTTAATAAAATTTTTTGGTGCTTACATGTTAGCGTAACCAC